GCACATTCCCCATCACTTCAAGGGCAAGGAAGAATGAGAGGAATGTTTTCCTGTGTGAGCAATAAGGAGAGAGGAAGGAGACTGGTTACTGATTTCTGCCTGGGTGCATTGGTGGGCTGGTTCCTTCCTCCACCCTGCCTGTTTGCTGAAGCTGGGTGCACTGTAAATGAGAATAAAGATTTGTGAATTACTCTTGCAGAGGCTTCCAGGGCCCTTGTGCTGTGTTAGTTGTGCTCCATATGGAGAAATTGAGAGAGTCACTGGAAGCCTTGGGAGCTGTGTGTCACCCATGTCTGTAAAGGAAGGACCTGTGTGTCCTGGAATGAATCCAGCAGGGATTAAGGGAACTCCTTAACAAATTAAATCAGAGTCCCTAGAACGGCACCTTTAGTCAAAGGAAGCAACACAATGCCTCTGTTTTTCCAGCTATTATGCTCTGAGGAACCAGGTATTTTATTCTTTATGGCCCTTGGACCTATATAATTACTATAGGTATATAGTATATATATTTACTATATACCTATAGTACATATTAATTTACTATATTAATTTCTTCCCTGCTGACATCCATCCTCCTGAATCTTTCGCATTTCCCTAGTTTTCCCTTTTATTCTATTTAGAATAAATTTAGAAGCCACAGAATTTTCTGACTCTTCCCTCCCCACCCTCCTGGAAAAAAAAAAATGCAGAAACTAAGGACTGAAGGGAAAGAAGCAAATGCCACATACCCTGCACTTTCTTATCCTCCAGTTTAGCACGTAAGGAATTAAATAAAAAAAATTAGCTAAATTCAGACAAAAATTTTGATTTTGAAAGGTTATTTGAAAGCTAAGCCATTTAAATTACTCAAAGTAATGTCTTTGTATATATTTCCATTTGGAAGTTGAATTTTCAAGAACGTCACTTTTTTTTTTTTCCCCAGATGCTTCGGGTGATTAAAGGACAAGAAGCTCTACTATTTGCACACATAAAGCACCAGCATGACTTAACTTCACTCTCCCTTGGCCCAAAGAGCGGTGAATCAATATAAAAAATGCTTTCCTAGAATCCCATTCTGCCTGATTGTGGATTGCACTCCATAAAAGCAATCATTTCTTCCACCAGCACTTTCTAAAGATAACTGAAGTGAGCATTTTCTTTTTTAAAAGAAATAATTCTCTGAGAGACCTCAAGAAGTGAATCCCAGCATTCATGGTCAGAGCAAGAAAAGTGAGTTTGTAAATTGAACCCCTTTGCTTGAGCCTCTGCTGCTGCTGAAAGACAATGAAAATGTGCTGAGTGTGGAGGACCAGGCATAAGGATGTTTTGTCTCAAACATTCTGATTGCTGCACCAGGAAAACTGTGGTTAGAAGTAACTTTAGATACCCCGTGGAAGGGTGTTGTAAAATATTAAGGATTTGTTAGCTAGAATTTTTAAGAAATTTGTAGGAGGAGGGGGGAGTTTGGTGGAATCCTTGTAAAATTAATGTCTTGTTAATCTTGTAAAATTATTTCTTGAGAATAAATAGTGGGCTGATTGCTGGAGTTATGGCAACTTTATAATAAAAGTATAAGAGTTCCCTGGTGCTAGGCTGGAGTCTTTGTTCAGTCTTAGGATAATTTATGATTAATATTGTGCCCCTTGTCCACAGCCATGACACGGAGGCATTAAGTTACTTGGAACACCTGGAATAAATCTATTGGGTTGTTGTCCTGGCTTGTAAAATAAGCATGTATTCTATTTGCCATCTGTTGGAGGTTGGGCAGTTTTCTTATCCCTTCCAAGAACAATGTCTCCCTCCAGGGAGAGATCTTCTGTTAATGGGCTATCGAATAACTCACTGCATGACTGGTAAAGTTACATCATCCCATGGGGAGATGCTCCACCCAGAGGGAGGAGCCAAGCAGCCATAGTTGCATAAAATCAGCACTTTTTGTGACATCAGGGCAGCCTCTTTGCTGGATTCCCAGAGAAGCAGCTTCTTCTCTGCTGGATCCCCAGAGGAAGACCAGGTGCCATCTACTCCATCACCAGACCTTCAGAGAAAACTCCACCCTTCTAGAGATCACTGCTTCAACAGCATTTCATCTGCCACTCCAGAGGAACAGCCACAGTTTAACTGGACTATTACCAACACCCTGACTCCTCAGGGTGTCAGGTGTCTGACTCTATCACTAGTTGTTTGTACTAATTACATTTAAAAAAAAATTATTTTGTTTTTTTCCTAGTAAAGAACTGTTATTCCCATTCCCATATCTTTGCCTGAGAGCCTTTTAATTTTGAAATTGTGGTAATTTGGAGGGAGGGGATTTGCCTTTTCCATTTCACAGGAGGCTCTTGCCTTCCTTCACAGACTCCTGTCTTTTCAAACCAAGACAGTTGTCTTCATCTGCTCTGGTGGAATCTATGCAGAATAACTGTGAGAGCTGAACCTCATCTGCATTATGGCTGACTGGAGGCAGCTGTGGTGCATTTGGGCAGCTGAACTTCAGCTGAAGTATTTACAGCTTGCAGACAAATGGCTGGCATTTGGAAGGGATGTGCAGTGCTTAAAGATCTCTGATTTAATATGTTGTAAGAGATCCCTAGGTGTGGGTGCTTTCAAGTTAAGGTCCTGGGAGTTTTTTAAGTCAATGGATTTGTTTAGCTACTGGAGTGAGTTCTTTTTGGCTAAACATATGGTAACTTTTCAGCCTAATTGGTTTGCAGCTGTACATCACTTTCATGCTGGAGACAGGTCTGGTCTCTCCAGGAGGCTGTTTATTCTACTTTCTCAAAAGCTCTATCTATAAAGGAAGAAATGTCCAGTGGTTTAGATGTTAGTTTGATACTGAATTCTAATTTAATTAATTCTATGAAGGGCTGGGAGATGCTTACCCAAAACCCACATGGAAATAAAATTTGAAAGAGGCATAACTGAATAAAAAAAAAATATGCCTCTGACAGATTTTGGTCCCACTTTAGTATCGGGCTATGCTTATTAAATTAACATGCCAATTTATATAATTCTGGCACTTTAACCCCCAGTATCTGGAGTGGTTGGTTCAGGAAATGCATTTGAATGTCTGCGTTGAGTAATCCATGAAGTTTTCTAACATACTACATTTATGACCAAAGGTGTTGGAAACAATTTTGAGATGTAGTTACATGGTTATGGAATTAATATTAGAAACAGGGAATGTGGTTTGTTCTTGATACCTTCTCAATCATTTTGTAATTGCTCTTTTAGGGTCTTTTTGGCCAGAGGTTACATTAGAACCACTGTAATACTTATCCAACTTTCATTGTTTTCAATAATCACTTCATGAACCCTGGCATATTTTTGGCCATTATGGTTCAAGATGGGAATGCTCTGAACATGAAATATGGGGGCAAGAAAAGTAATTTTTTTTCTTTTTTTATTAATAGGTTCTGTATTTTGAGATTTGATTGTGAGTGATTCCTTATTACTTACATACATTCTCAATTTCCTCTATAATTTGTGTTTCCTTTATGATAACTTATTTCCAGATTTATTCTTAGTATTTCAAATTCTTCTTCCTGCTATTCACCACTATATTTATCCATTATCTACCTCATAATCTGTTTTCCTCTACTTTTATTTGTTTTTGCCTACAAGTTTTTTAACTTATTGTTTGATAATGATAGTTGAATTAAGAATTCCCACATCTCATTTGTAAATAAGCAACAATACAACAAAAACTACAAACCACAAATAACAAAGCACAAAAAAACCAAACCAAAAACCAACCAAACAAAAAAACCCCAAAACACACACATGTTTATTTTGGAGTAAATATTAAAAAAAAAGATTGTTGTCAATAGCAAAGAGCAAGAGTGACAGGAAATTATGACGGTTTTAAAAGACATTTTCCTATTCTACACTTTTATGGATTAATATATGTACTAAAATGCTGGGATGTAGAAATAACCATTTGGAAATTAGAGGCACTTGCCCTGGTCAGTAAATGTACTAAGGAAAGGGTGGTGAGAATTTACTGGCTGGCCAAAGCAGCTTTTTGAAAACAGAATGGTTGGAAATTCATGTGAAAGAAATTACCACAGGGTTCAAAATTACTAGAATATTCAATTTTGAAACAGGTATGTGCTGGTGGCATCATTGTAGAGCTGTCAGACTATTTGTTTTTGTTGTCCAAATTTAATAGCCTCTGGTTCCCACAAAATGAGTGGGGAAACCAGACAAAGTAGAGGATTGAAATTAAAAAGCCTGAAGTAGAAGCCTGTAGAACACAGAGAGCAGCACACTTAAAGACCAAGGCAAGTACAAAAGATATGAACTCCACAATAAAACAGATTTGTTAGGAAAATGGCTTCTTTTGTCCTTAAAACCTGTGAATCTACCCTGCTTGTGGAAGGAACCAACTATTGCTCGTACATGCTGGATTTATGCCCTCTGAAGGGAAAACAGTGCAGGTCCTGTGGAAATCTGAATTAAACCAGGTCACCCGGCAGAAGAAAAAAAAAGCTCTGAAAAAAGAATGAAGCCTTGAGGAAGAACTTATGCTAATGGAACAGCCAAAATTTAAGTGGAGAAGTGATATTCCCCAGGAATGGAAGGGGCATCAGTAAAGAGCTAAATATTTCATTTAAATGATATTTATAAATTGGGTGCTTTCCTCTTCCTTGTGTTAAAATATAACTGCCATATTAGGAAAAAAACCCAATTTTTATTTTAACAGTTTTGCAACCAGCACAAGTGGTAACACATTCCTGTAGCTTACACCACCATTAAGCACTTATAAATAGGAGACTATGGCAATAGCTGCAAAAATAAGCTGGATGAAAAGAGTTTATTCCTTCCAGAACATGACTTCTGCAATGCTAGTTCTCGTTCTGAAATTCATGAAGAGGTAGAGCAAGGGAATCCCCTGTTTAAATCAAGTTGACTGAATAGAAATCCCTTAGCATTTTACAGAGCAATCATGTGAATAAATTGCTAGCAGTGAGCAGCACATGCAGCTAATGTGGATTTTTTATTTTTTTAATTTGCAGTAATGTCGTGGTTCTGATATTTTTCACCCAAATTACAACCAGGCCAGAAGAGCACTGAAACAGGTTAAAGATGAAGATCCTGGGCTTCAGTGAAGTTGCTGTCAGAAGTGTTGCACTGGTAAAGTTTTTATAGTAGAATGTTTACCCACTGCCTTAACAGCAGAGCCACTTAGTGCTGAGTGTAATTCTTTATTCCTCCTGAAAAAGAGGTGTGGACTGGAAAAAAATAAGGTTTGCAGGTTCCATTAATGTATCTTTTATGTCACCCATTAGGGAAAACTGCTTTTGGCTGGTTATTGGCAGTGCTTTCAGAAAAAGCAGCTTTCTACTCCTCTGAAGTACTGATCCAGAAATGCCCTTGATCAGTATTCTGGACACCAGATTAATATTGTGAGTACAGCTGCTGTGTAAAACTAACTGTGTCTGACAAGTAGAGGTGTATTTAATATTAATTTTTACCTCTGTGACAGATAGAGATACTACATAGTACATAGCAAAAACTTTACACTGAGGAATAATTGCAGCGCTACCAAGAATGTAGTTCAGAAAGCATCCAAATTTCTCAGTATCTTTCCTAGATTACTGCCAATGAAACTTATTCCTCTGTTACTAGTTTTTGCCAAATCTTCTCTTCTGTCAGTAGTGAAAAAGGTTATTTCAGAGGTGGCACAGAGTTATTGTGTTCTTCTCACATTTTGAATTTGTTACATTATCACTTCCTCCAAAGATTTTCCTTATTTAAGCCCACAGAAATATTTTTGATGGTCTATTTTTACAGAATCTGTAGCAACAGAGTTTTCATGGCATCCAAAATTATTTCTTTTTGCTAAACTTAAGAAGTATTAAACATGAACAAGCTCAGTTTCTTTCCTTAGGGAATTGGGCATTAGGAGGAAGCTCTTTGCTGTGAGGGTGCCCAGAGAAGCTCTGGCTGCTCCTGGATCCCTGCAAGTGTCCAAGGCCAGGTTGGATGGAGCTCTGAGTGACCTTGGCAGGGAAATGGAATTATATGGTCTTTAAGTTTCCTTCCAACACAGACCATTCAGTTATTCTATTCTATGATTTTTATTCTATATTGCAATGTGTAAAAAACCTCCTAAAGCCTCTCCTGAAGGAAGACAACAAAAAGATCAAGCAGAGCTTTCTTTTGGCATGTGTGATCAAATCCAACAGTGGACATTTTGGGAACAGCACATTGCTCACTGACTCCACCTCTGTGCCTCCTAGTTTCTCTCATCACATTAAGCCTCTTTTCATTTGATTTAAATGCTTTCAATAGATTTCCTGATTTAAAAAAAAAAAAAAAATCGTCATTGTCACTTGGAGAAGGCATCTTAGATGTCCCCCAGAGGATTGCTGGATCTAGCAATGGTCAGACACAGAGACAGAAACATCCAGGGCAGCCAACCAAATCACAAAGGAGAAACCACCTGTGGGAAATCTCACTGTGAGCACAGTGGGCATTTGAGCTGCTGCTCCTGGAGATGAGCATTGACAGCAGCTTGTGCTGAATTAGCTGCAAGTGAAGCTGCAGAGCTGCTCCACAGCCAAACTCCCCGTGGCTGTCAGCAGCGTCCACCCCACCACGTGCAGCGCCTGGGGACCTTCCAGGATCAGCAGGCTGTGAAGTGGCTTTGCACAGCTGTGGGAAATGGAAAAATAAAAACTTCCAGAGGCACTGAAGGGTTTGGTCTGCAGCCTTAAAAGAAGCTTGGATTGATGCAAAATAAAATACACAGACATTAAGTAGAAAAATCATAATCTTATGTTTCTATGGTGGTATGTAGGAATATGCCTTAAGGAATTGAGAAACTGTATTGATAAGATGGTGAAGGGTTTCTAATGAAGGGTTTATAATGTAGAGTAAGCTAAGAGTTTAGAAGTTATAATAGAAGCATAAGTGTGCATGTGAGAAAGCAGCTCATTGGACAAAAGTATCCACAGTGCAGTAGAAGTGAGTAAAGGTGATAGGTTAGAAAAGCAAAATAAACTTTGTGGCATCTGTCCATTGGGTTAGAAAATTCTATATTGCCTTGTAACAAGGAGCTTGTGACAGTTTGAGCTATGGCCGACTGCTCGCTCCTAAAATCTCACAGCCTCTGAGACTGATGTTTATCTGGGCAATAAATCGTTCTTAGCCTGACTGTGGTCCCATCCCTTTGTTAAAAAGTAGTGATAATACCACACAGTGATCACCCATTCCCTACATCACAGCTCTTCATGGCACAGCACACATGGAAGCCTTTTCCTCTCCTCTCTGAACAACCACAGCTCTCTCAGCTGAGCTGTCCCAACCTCTCTGACTAATGCTAAAGGCTCAGAAATATGTTTTACAGGAATTTACTCAGAACCAGCAGCAAGTCCCTCAGCGTGCTATATCCTGCTTGTCATTCAAGAAGTATATGCTTCTTCACAGAGTTAAATAAACTGGCAAAGAGACACGTTGGCTTTTTCCTATTTAAATGTTTGGTTCTCAGGTTTCTCAGAACCTCTTTCACCCTGGCCATGGGCACTTCCAGGGGTCCAGGGGCAGCCGCAGCTTCACTGGGCAGCCTGTGCCAGGGCCTCACCACCCCACAGGGGAGAATTTTTCCCTAATACCTAGTCAAAATATCTCCTCTTTTAGTCTAGTCTGTTTCCAGTTGCTTTTGCACATTTTCAATTTATAGGTGGATGCATTTTTCACGCAGAAATGCAATTTTGATGATCAACCTTTTTGCAAAGGGGCTTTATTGACAGTAAGGATTTTTCTGTTGAAGGGACAGGAGGGAATAAAACTTTCCTAACAAATCCAGCCTGTCTGGAGGAAATCTGGAGTGGAATTTGAGTTATCCTTGTATTCTCAAAAGTTTTTCAATTGCTGATGAAAATTCCCCTCTTGGGTTTGCTCGGCATCAGAGTGGTGCAAATTGTGCACTCAGTTTTAGACAAGATCCTGCTGCCTACTCATCCAGTTTCTGTTTTTAATGGACAGAGAAACAGGCAATTCAGGTGTTTAAGATGGGTGATCTAAATGGCTTCCATGAAAGGCTTGTTTCTCTCTACTGATTAGAAAGGGAGTTCAGAGATCAAGCTCAGTTGCAGGTGTTTATCCTCTGATTTCTATGCCAAGAGAGAATCCCAACCCAGTCTGTGAGTTCCATGAGAACTCATGGCTGAATCAGCACCCAAGGCAAACTGAAGTGGATAAAATATTTTCTCCCTTATATGTGGGTTCTTTATTTTAATTGTTTTCCCTGTATCTTGTCCTGTACATAAATGATGTGAGTGTTCTTTTAAAATGTTTGGGTTTTTTTCATCATCCTCTAAAAAACTTCTGAAAAGATTGATTTATTTAAGAAAGTTCCTTTTCCCATGAACATCTGTAATGGCTGTAACACTAAGCTTTATTTTGTACACCATACTGGTGCAAAAATCTAGTCTAGAATATTCTTTTAAGATAATTTACTGTTAATTTACATAAAAATCGTTTGTGTTAGAGATGACAATGTGGGCAGGGAGCAGAGAGGTATAATTAAACATCTGAGATGAAGATGGCTTGTCAAGTTTAACTTTGTTTCTTGTATACCCTGCTGAGATTTTAGATGCAATCAATGTCTTAAGGACAGGAGGAAGAGGGGATGAATCAAAGTGAATCACACCTTATGGTTTTTCTTGTGCTTGGACAGCTGTTTGTTGCATATCAAATGAAGACCAATGCCTAGACACATCAATTAGAGTGGGAAGCATCCTGAAGGATTTAAAAAGTTAGTGGGGTCAAGCTGTAAAGGTTGAAGAAACTTAGGAAGGTATTGAGAGCTCTCTAGTAACTCTAACAAAGTCCTGAACTGAATAAAGCTCTGAAGTGTGGATGCTTCTCTTTGGTAATTACAATATACAGCTCCAGCTTTTTAATATGGATTTGGTTCCTCATATTTTAGAAAAGGCAGTGTAAGAGACACAACAAGAGTCACAACAAAACTCCAACCTGGTCTGTAAGAATCAAAAACTCATCAGAAAGAAAGTGTTAAGTGCTCCAAAATATGGATGAAATTACCAGGGCATTCCACGTTCTTGTGATGCACCCTGGAACAATTTGTTCAGTTTTCAAATGATTCCTGAGAAAAGTATAAGAAGCAGCTGGGATGTTTTACCTATTGGATTATAAAAGTAATTCACCCAGAGATGACATTATTCCATTATACAACCAGAATTACACTATAATTAACATTGATTATAATTTCAAAAATAAATCAGACCTGCTCATTCTTATATCACCTTTATATGCCTCCTTTTGAAGTTGCTGCCATACTGTGGGCCTGGAAAACATTGGCAGTGGGGTCACTTTATAAAGCCTGTGACACTTCTGCTGTGCCTTGGCATTTCACCAGCTGCAAAATCAAAGACCAAACACTGCCCCAAACCACCAGTCTCCCCCTTCTGTGGGGTTCTGCAGCTTAACTGTGAATAACACGTTCTGGGTTTTTTTGACTCGGGAAGATTTCCTTGCTCCTGCCTTTGGTAACTGGAATTCCTCTGGTGCTTGACAGCCGTGGTTTTACAGACCAGCAGCACGTTGTACAGTGGGGCAGTTCCATCCCCAGCCTCTGACTGATTAAAAGCCATCTGCACCCCCTTGCCAAGCTCCAGGTACAATAAATCAAGAGCAATCCAGGAGCAGAGGCCAGCAGGGAAGGGGCATCGATCTTACCTGGTGTCATGGGGTTGACAGGAGGATAATGCTGAGCACTGTGAGATGCTGAACTCCCCTGATTAAAGAGATCCATCCACCAGCAGTGGCCACTGCCAAGGTGTCCAATGCCAGAGGTGTCCTGGCAGAAAGTCTTTAAAACAATGAAGAAAATGAGCATTCGAAGTTGCTCTGATTGATTGAACATAATGAAAACTTTTTGAGGTGCTGAGGAATTGAAAGGGAAAAAATGGATTGAAGCTGTTTGTATCTAATGATATTATTGTGAAGACAGAAAATTTTAAGTGTTAAAGAGGCAAAGGTTTTCATATATATTATCATTATATTTATATGTATCATATCTATTATATGTATTTCTTTCATATTATTATTATTATTATCTACTACATTTCCCCCCCTCTCCAGTAGTAAGGAATTACACACATTATGAAAATTGAGAGTTTTCCCTCCATGTTGAGTAACCAGACTCAAGGGAGGACATCCAAGTGTCAGGGCTGGTCCATAGTGTCACTGTGTTCCCAACCACCTGCCAGAGTTCTGAAGCTGGAGAGTTCCTAGGGCCATACCTAAATATATTATTCATGTATATGTGTGTATGTGTGTATATATATATATATTTAGATTTAGATTTACATCTACATTTATATTTATATTATTTATATTAGTGCATTACTTAGAAATTTATCTTTTCTATGGCTGAGATCTTTGTGCAAGGCAGAGTCCCTTGGAGGCTTCTGTTGAATATTCCCTTAGTCACTAACTGTAGGAGAGAAGCAGAACTGTCCTGAGTTATTTGTGTATGCTGCAATTAATTCCTGACACTAATGAGAAAGAGACCAATACAAAGCACACCAGATTAGCTTTCCTGCTATGTTTTCTTTTTGTATTGACTTGCAAATGATGGTAGCACAAATTTGGTAAAGAATGCTTTCAAACTAATGTGAACCTCACACAATTCATTATAATATTTCAGCTATAATATAATATGTCATATTAGCTCAGCAGAGCACAGAACCAATAAAGCTGGTACATAAAACAAGGGTTTCATTGCCATGCTGCTGGTAGTCAGACTTTGTTCTTCATCTGGCAGAAACAAAGTGGAACTGACCATTTCAAAGATTCGAGATTAAAACACAGATTTATGTGGGTTAGAAATATATGCAGAAATCCTCGTTCTAATGAGGGTTCTAATTCTCTGAGTCAAAAGAATTTTGATATTTTAATATTGGAAGCACTCATCTTGACTGCACATATCCTTCTTTGAAGGTGAGAATCTAAACAAGATGCAGCATATGATTGTGAGTGAAGAAGTGATGTGTGAAGGGTGCAATGTGATACATCTGCAGGGAAACAGAAACTTATCCTGTACTGCTAAAAAAACACCCCGAAACATTGCTCTGCTCTGCCCAAAGCATAGGATGAAAGGGTGGGACTTATTTTACTATTTGAAATAGTTCTGAAGACATTTTTGTGAGACTGAGAATCAGCAAGGAAGATAATTATAGAAGTAGTTATCCTTTTCAGAGAAAAGGAACCTCCAAAATGTAGTGTTTTCTCTTAGCTGACATTCTAATTTCTGGAAGTTTTAGAAGCCTTTTAAAAAAAATTGGTCTAAATATTATCTCACATTGTTCTGGAAGAAAAGTATGCCAAATATCCATCGATGTTAGGATCTGATTATTATCCCTTTCAGGTTATTTTGCCTGGAGTGGGATAAAATAAGCACTAGTACTAAGCATTTTGTCAAGAGGTAATGAAAAATCTATGTGCTATCACATGAAATGGGACTTCAGAGGCCATGTAGGGGTGGAATAAATTCCACTTGAAGCAGTAAGGACAGCCTGGTGAGACAGCAGTGTTTTCATGCTGCCATTAGAGAAAAAACAAGTGTTAAATCTCCAGGGTTTGTCTGTGGCTGTACTTACAGACTCATCTTGGACAAATCACTTGAAGACCTTTTGTTGGCTTTACCGACTCCAAAATTGTTGTGGGTGATTTCAGCGACTTGTAAAACACTGCCTGTTTTCTGAAG